AGGTATGTAGGTGTGTCGGTATGTAGGTATGTATGTATGTATGTATGTATGTATGTATGTCTGCGGGGACATATGTGTGTGTGTGTGTGTGCGCGTTCGGTGTAACTTTGAATTCAGAACCGTCGGGACGAAGCCACCTTGACGATGGATCAAGTGGTAGCGAACGCCAAGCGGATCAGGGCGTTGATCAAAGACCATGAGTAGTTTGTGTAGGCTCCTGGCACAGTGTACTTTCGCAGAGGCCAGGATGTGCCAGACCACCTTCTTCCTGGTGGCCAGGAAACTTTTCTTGTGGGGCCGCCAAAGCAAATGGCAACTTGTAATACACGTTCTGCACGTGCTTTGGGCACACACCACGACAATGTGGTGGCATTGCTTTGCCAGAGGCCTATGCCTATGCTTTGAGCACTTTGCCGGGCGTAGCGGCAATTGCGTCTCCGGGTCACGAGCATCCTGCGATTTATACCCGGTGTGACACTTTTCCAGTTCGTTTTGAAGCGACTGATGCCGGGTGTCTCGGCGACTTCGAACCCGCTGGCACTTTGCAAATGCATCGTGTGCGTGAGCTTCCAGTGCTTCGGCCAAAGCTACAGGCCTCTACGCGGGGAGCCTCACTTTCATTCTCTGGCGAAGACTGTTTTCTGACTGTTTTCGACTAGCAGGTCCACGTGCTATTCACATAGATGACGCATGCAATTACTGGCGCAGCCATCACGACCGCTGCGAGCACCACGAACTTTTCTCCTTTGCGACTGTTGTGCTGTAGATGAGAGGCATATCGTGTGACGCAAATTTGTCTGCAGTCTTCTGCACAGCCTTTGTGCACAACGAACCCTGTCAAACCAACTTTAGTTTAGTCTTCTGTGGTACCGTATTTCAAGTCAAAGGCGGCAGGTTGAAACTTGAACACTTTTCCTCCAGGAAAGAGACGCATGCACTTCGCCACATTCAAACCCTGCATCTGGTGCCGTCGGAGACAAAGGTACCGCTGTGAAATTTCAGGGTTACTTTGAATTCAGAGTTGAGAAGGACTGCGCGGATTAAGCAAGCTCTCACCTGAACTATCTTTGCATATCCGACAGGCCTACCAGAATCCTGCCCCACGCGAATGTAGAGCGGGGCAATTGCTCGCGCCGACACATATCACAACTGAATGTTTGTGAAATGTTTCAACCACCCACCTGGGGGTGTACTAAACTTACTGAACCATCAAAACACACAGTTTGCAAATGATACTCATAAACAGTTGACCTCATATTAACATGTAATCAATCTAGCAAGTAATCTGCTGAACTAACACAGACACCTGCCTGGTGTATCATCACCGTTTTGATGATACAGTCCAGACTACTCTAAATATATACATATAATGTGGAAGCAAACCATCAAAAACCAAACAAAAAGCAATCAAATAAAAATCACAATTGAATTGTCGGTGCTTTGAATTTTGAACATCGAAAATTTCACCGAAAAGTTCAAGCTATCTTCAATGTTCGATGTTGGAGGCACAGAAAACCAACCAACTCGACTTTGTTGAATGGTGTGTTTTGGCTTGTGTATGTTGTAACCACCTATATAGATGCTCCTCATGTCTGCAGTGAGATGTGTAAACATGCACTACAACATTTCACGTGCATGCAAATATCTCTATATAGCAGGGAAAGGTCTGTAGGTGACGTCTTCAGGAAAAGAAGCATATACCTATGTGTTTATGTGTAACATACTTGCTTCGACCTCATCAGATATTGGGGTATGTACACGAATATCATCCAGCCCCACACACGCACGTGCATGTACATAAGCTACGAAAATACTTGAATACGCACGTGCACACACACACACACACAAATTTCCTCAAAACCTATGGCCATGGGTCTGCGCGGTCCGAGCAGGCGGTGACCACCCTGGAAGCATCCGACAAAAGGGCCGCGGCGATCACAAGCCCGCCTGAGAGAGTGCCGGCAGACACAAGGAGTCGCTATTCCAGGGACACTCGGACAGCATCTGCGCCATTACTTTTGAAGATGCATGGTTGCGTATTGAACCAGGATGTTCTACAAAATTTAGGAGTGCCACAGGCTATCACAGGCACCCGAGGTGTCGCGCTGCACCTTTTATTCCGAAAGTTGTACCACTAGCCACGACTCAAGAGAATCCAGTCGGTGCCTGGTAGCAAGGTGACGATACACTCCACGGATCGCGTGCACCACAGCTTCACGCCGCCTCAACCCCGTCCAGTCGCACTGAAGCTGCTGAAAGTCGCAGCAGTCAGTATGCAAGTGTACGTGCATGTATAAATAAGAAAATATATAACTGAATTCAACACAAATGTATAAAGATATATACAAATATACACATGATTTGTTGTGTTTCAAAATCTAACTGTTTATTATTAATACGTGTGTTTGTGCATGTGTAGAGGTAGTGTCGCGACAAATTGGGGCATGCCCTAGGCAGCCAAGGCACTATTGGCAGGGCCAGCAAACACTTCCTCAGTGACTGGTGCAATGTAGGATCTGTCGCCTCCTCAGACAACATGCTAATTTGCAAGCCAAGAAGCTCGCCCACAGCCGAAGGCGACAAGCAGAATCCGTGCATCCGCAGAAAACCTGGCTTTTGTACACATTGGGAAATGTCGCAGCCTGGGCATGTCCTCAACACGAACCTGCAGCGACGACTCGACGAGGCGACGGCAAGATGGATCGAGGGATATCAGAATCGAAGCTATGTCCGTCTGCGACGTGCTATTGGCATCTCTGTTCGGCGGTCTTCTCGAAAGTGTTCGCCAAGCAGCTGCAGCGCATAGATAGTACCGGGGTGGCTGTTGATGGTTCTCTCGCATGCCCCAGTGGCAGAGGACCACACCTCACAGTGGTCCAAAGGCAAGGCGCTCCAGTGCATGCCGCACCCGCACCCTCTTGCCGAGGCCCCGGCACGTGCCGTGATTCCAGATGCTGTGGCCAGGAGTTCGCCGCTTGCAGAGACACTGAGTGCTCTGACGGAGTCCAAATGCCCGGACCTGAAAAGTGGGTCGGTCTGGAGACTTCCATGACATTCAATGCCTGGAATACTGCAGCTATGAGTAACGCGTCATGCGTTAAGGGACACTCAGCAACGACGCTGCTGCTCGAGCAGCGGCGATGACAGTGGCGATGACTATCCAGGACGATCTCGATTGTGGTGCTAAGATAGTTTGAGAGCAAAGCAGAAGTCTCTGCCAAGAGGCAGAATGTGAAGGCACGCCCCGCTGTTGGCATCCCAAACACGAGCCGTGCGGTCGATTGAAGCAGACAAGATCAAGCGGCCTCAGAAATAAGGCAAGGGATGGCTTGTCACGCTGGGCTGCAGGGCCCCAGGCCGTCCCTTGAGTAGGTCGCTGCCAGAACCGCTGCCCCGTGTCCCTGAAGCCGGGCACTTTCTCGCAGCTCCTTGAGGCACCAAAGCCTCGGACAGAGCTGTCACATCACACGTCCCAAAAGAGCGAGAGAGACAGAGAGAGCGAGAGAGAGACAGAGAGAGAGAGAGAGAAAGAGCGAGAGAGAGAGAGAGAGAGAGTGTGCATAGTATGGAGATGCAGAAGCAGCAGAGCGGGGTACTCCGGTGGAAGCTGCTCGGAATCAAAGCCGAGTTGCCGAAGTTGAGTGCTCGATGCAACCAGAACTTCTGCAGAGTTGGGCGCAAAGCAGGCATGGAGGATGTACTCGTCATCCAGAGCCCATATGCATTCTCCGGAGCCAGTTCGAAACACCTTCGAGCGTTAGAAGACCCGCGGGCTATCTGCTCTGCCTGCTCTCCGATGCTCTCCGTGCGAAGCAAAGCGCCCGCAGCTCGCCGTGAGCAATGGTCAGCACCAGGCTGCTGTCTGGCGATGCGGAGACCTCCTGAGATCGAAGTCGTGAAGTGCTTGCCCACTTGTCGAAGTAGTCTCTGTCGAGTTGCTGTGACGCAGGCCCCATGATCAGCGAGGGTTCGATGACCAGCTCCTGCACTGCGGAGATGCTGCGGAGTCACGGCGGGTCTTATCTTTGTTGCGTTGTTCGGCTTCTTCCTGTCCTCCCAAGTTCCAGAGAATCGCCGTGCCGTCATCTGATCCAGTCAACACCTCGGAAGAAGCCCCTGTGAAACGAGTCTCTCCTACCTGCTTAAGCTCTGAGACGCAGGCATGCTGCTGGTCGGCAAGCAGGACGACTTTGCCTTACAAGGTGCCGGACACGAGCAATCGGCCAGAACAGTGGGAGGGCCATGCAGACCAAAGCACGAAGACCTGCACCGTTTCCGTGGAGCGTCTTGAAACACTCGCCCGAGCTCAAGTCCCAGAGCCTCGCGAGGTGCTCAGGGAGCCCTGTCAGTCTACAAAAGGACCCAGGACTCACGCTTCAGAGTGGAACAACAGCAGGCAGGCTGGGAGACACCCTGGTTTCGGGCCCCAATAAGCCTTCCGAAAGATACTCCGGTGGATCGGAGAGGGCCTGGCCGCGCCATCGGCACACGCCCCCGCGAGCCAAGGCCCCGGACTCCGCAAAACGTCCACGACACCTCGAAGCCCAGTGCTTTGTTGGAGAATCCCAGCATGTCCCACTGAGCCTCCAGGCTGTACGCCATCCCCCAACAGCTCGTGCTCTACGAGCACCTGGCGCTCGGAAGACTGAGGTTTCGAGTCAAATCGTTCATCGCGATCCTGCGTGCGAGCCACTTTTTCAATGCCTGCTGGGGTACCTTCTGTCAAGAGAGAGACGACAGATGAATTAGCCTACTGTGCATCGGAAACATCTAGGCAGCGCTTCAATTGCACTGAATCGTGTCATCTCATGGACTCATGGCTTTAGACGTCCCACACGGCTAGGGCCTAGGGCAATTGAAGCGAGACGTTCGCAGTGGCGGACACAGACCCAACCAGGCTGGCACCAGTGGCACCAGATTGAAGCCATCCACAATGCAACAGGTTAGTCCGATCGGAACAGCTCTGCCAAAAGCAAATGATACTTAGCTGTGCAATCTCCAAGAAGGACAGGGCACAGCTGTCCCCCGAACAACCCTTAGCATCGTAGCGGCTTGGCTACGACCGTCCTTTTCAGCTCACCGTCCAATGCACGGGCACTTGCACTAAAGCAGGCCGCAGGAGCAGCATTTACATTCGGAAAGCAATCTGTCGCAGTTGCGGGGGCGCCAGAACGGTTGAAAAGAATACCGGATCCACCGAGAGACGCAATGCAAATCCGAATGGAAGCATAAAATTCTCTCAACCACAGCTGTGCAAAGCGTCCGGGATCTCCGGGCAGGGCCCCAATGCGCAAACTACATTCTAAGCGTGCAGCTAGTGTGTCACTAGTCGGGAAAGTCTGTGCAGATTCTGATTCGGGCAGCTCTCGGGTCGTGCAGAGCGCGCTGTGCGGCCATGCTCCACCAAAATCTCCGAAAAACGTAGGCTTTAAGGCTGCCCGAGGCTAGCAGCAAAGTCGCCACATGACATGACCGAGAGTATGCAACTCATGCAAGCGGCCAGAACAAAAAACCGTTCGTCCGGACCGGTCGGCTGCCTCTGGCCGTCCCGAGCCGGCTCTTGGTATTGCAGCCGCTGATACCGCCACCTAGATGGGCCAAACAGATGTCGCATTGGAACGCTGACGGACTGTTGGGGAGTAAATGAAGGCAGTAGTAGTGCTACAATCCAGGCCAGACCGGAACCGCGGCGTCTCACTTGCCGACCAGGTTCCGATCTCGACTGACAATTAAATTCAGAGATGGACCCTCCCACATGCAGGTTTGAAATAGTCCGAGCCCTAGTGAGTGTTGTGGGAGGTCCAAAAAAACGTGTGCATTCTGAACCGTCCTGGCCACATGCTTAGGATTCGACTTCGATTTCGATTTCAGGATGAACGAATGGCCAATGCAACAGACTGGGGGCCAAGCAGTGATAGCAGAGTGCAGGTCACTCAGTTTAACTAGTCCAGGAGGGCCCTAACATCGAAGTTGCCTGTCGCACGGCAGAACAGCGGGTGCAAATGTACAGTGTCAGAATTCGGATTCCGAGAGGTCCCTTCACGAAGAAAGCACTCTTACACTGCGGAGACAGAACTTCTTGAGACTTCTGAGCTACCATAAATATCCGTTTGCAACCTAGACCGTCGGAAGGGCCTGCGGCAGTAAAGGCAACTTGGCGCGACCATCCGTACTCAGTAACAAGATTTTGGAGTCTGTGATGACTACACTCGGGGCACTGCAGCCTCTACCCACCCAGGCCAGTCTCTTAATCGTCAGCCTGCTGGCTTACTGGCATGGCTCAGACTTCACGTTCGTGGTCTGAGGTTCTTCCAAATTCTGAGGCACGCTATCAAGCAAGGAGCCCAAAGCTTCTTGCGCCTTCGGTTGTAAAAAGCCTACACAGTAGCAAGGGCCCGAGTGCTCGATGCCGTTCCGGGTACAGAAGGCACGGTAGCAGCCTTCCACAGCTTTTAGGACCTTAAGCGTCATTTGCATCGCCCGCTTGAACATCTCGGGGTCGGCATGGTCCGTGGTCACTGCAATCATGAGCGGCGTGGGAGCCTCGTACTTGCCATCGATTTCCAAGTGGCCACTGCCCTGGCCGCGGATGCGCACTTTTGCGCTGGTCTGCTCTGCAATCCTTCGCATGTTGCAGCCCTTCCTGCCGATGAGGCGCGGGACAAGGTCGAAGCCATCCTGCTGCATCCGCAAGTAGATGTGCGCCCAAAGCCGAGCCCTCCTGGAGCGAGGCTTGCGCTCTTCGCCCTCGTCCCCCGCGTCAGCAGGCAGAGGCAACTCCGGAGTCTCGGCTTGCAGGGACGCAAGGGAGGCCAACTCGGGAGCCATGGCATGGGGCACATGGGGCACATGGGGCCCATGGGGAAGGGGCAGCACGGGCATAGGAGTGACCGGAGCCGGAGGGACGGGGCACAAGGAGGCTGCGGTCACTGCCACCGCAAGGGCCGCCGCCTGCTGGGCTTGCACCAACGGGTCCACTGCATTCCACATGGGTGGGAGCTGCTGTGGAAGCCGCGGAACTGGATAGGGCGTGGCCATTGGGTAAGGAAAACAAGCTGGGTATGGCACCGGGAATGCACCCGGGTAGACCATTCCAGCTGGAGCAACAGGACAAGCGACAGCCGGATGTGAAGGGTGCGCCGAGGGCAGTGCACTGCACAGATTGATGTACGGCGTCGCGGAAGGATTCTGGGGCTGTGCTGGCGGTGCCCATGGCTGCCTCGTGCTTTGCTTCGGATATTCGGGCCACTGCTCCATGGTCCCAGGTCGCTCCCCACGCGGTGTGCTGATCTCGCTTTGCATCGAGTTACGGTGATGGTCTCTGGGAGTTGAGCTGTCCGATTCCAGAGTCTTGAAGAATCTCCTCGGCATCTTTGCTTCCATCTGCGGTGACGTGCTTGGCCCGCTGCTGGAGGTCAGTGTGCTGTCAGGTGTTTCTGACACAGGAGACTCTCCAGGAGCAGTGGTTTCGGAGAGGCTCGGGCTCACATCTGGGCCTGGGCACGTGGCGTAGCGAGCCCTTTGTGCGGGTTCTGCATCGCTGTCTTCTCCGTGGCCATCAATGAAGGTGTTCTTGACGGTGACATCTGCTGAGTGCAGGTCAGGCCGGCACAGCAAAGTCACGGGCGCTGCCATGGCACGAGTGCAGATGAACTCAGAAATGCACGCACTACGAGGTCGCTGTCGCGAGCTTGAGGTCGCATGAGCAGATTTCAAGAACATGCGATTTTGTAAAAGACATGCAGTAAGAGGCGTGGTTCTGATGCAGGAAAGACATGCAGACACGAATGCGCATGCAGACGAGGTGCTTCCGGCCTTCCCACCAAACAGGAAGTCGCAGCGCACCATACAACCTCCTGGTCAAGCAGCAAGTAGCACTCTCGGACCACGACTACTGAAGTCATGAAAACAACTGGCTAAGAAACCGAAAACAGGTGAACAACTCGTGACCCATGACTTCAACAGACAGAAGTCGTGACAAAAACTCGTTTGTCGAATGACAGGACAGGGTTAAGTTGGTAACAAGAAGTAATACTTAAATTCAGCATGCTCATTACAGCTGTTTTGAAGACTCTTTTGTCTATTGAATTTCAACATCTTCCTGGCTCTGCACAGCTCGAGCTGCAAGATCACTACCGCTGCTGCCGTCTCCAAACAACGGCACACGAATGCCATACCGTGTGCTGAGCAAAACAGCCAGCACTGCCATTCGGAGCACTGACCTCGCTTCTACCCACTGCCCACCCCCGCACCCAGCTGACTGAGCTTCGATCTTGAAGGTCCTAGCTCACTGCCTGCTCCTGCCCGTTGCCCGCCTAACCGAGGGGAGACCCCGCTTCCCAAAAAAAAAAAATATAAAAACGTGGCTGACTAAGACAACTGCATCTTGAGCATCAATATGATCTGTGATGTAGAGGGCCGCGGCCTCATCCATGACACGGCGGATAGTCCGCGTTGTCACGTTGAAACTTCACAACAGCTTGCTCAACATTCTCGGAGGTCAGCATGATTTCTGTGTACTTCTGGATACACTCTGTGTGTGTGTGTGTGACCTCTCAAACGTCGACGTGTCGAGCTTCCCTGAGCTAGGTTCAGATTCGTTCGCGTTCTAGTCACACCGGCTCCCTGAGGTTCAAAGGATGTAAAGTAGACGTCGACGAACATTCCGACAATATAAGGACCAGTGATCTAAGCTATTCTAAGCTCTAAGGAGTTGTGGAAGAAGCCGTACGCTTTCCCGACGAGCACACTGATTGCTCGCTACTACCGCTAAACGAAAGCTTGCCATGCATGTGACCTGTAGCAGTGAGAACATCCCAGCTGGGGACCTTCTTGAGAGTGCACAGCAGCACGCAAAGCTTGCAGCGTGTCATCAGCATAAACCTGGCGCAGCCAAGCCCGTGCAATGCCGTATGAATGCTGTTCGATACCACCGACTTGAGAGAAATTGCCCAGTTCTCAGTACAGCTCCTGCCTCGACCTCGGCGAGGGTCTGACCAGACAGCGCTGCCCGGAGCGTCAAAGGGAACGTGGCCATTGTATCGACGCTCGGTCAGCTGAAAAGGAGTCTTTCAAACAGTCTGTATGCTCGTTGAGCGATGCGGAGGCTTGTCAGTAGGCTTGTCTGGCTTTTCTGGGCGTCGCAAGACATGTCACGGCCGAGCTGCTCTCATCTAGAATTGAACATGAAACTTGGTTGTCATTAGTTCTTCAAGGCTGCCCTATGGCTTGCAAGTGTCGAGAGGATAGCAGCAAGATTTCGCGAGCGCATCTAAGTTCTGAAACCAGGAAGATGGGCTCCATCTCTCGTACTTCGGATCGGAATGCTCTGTGAGCTCCACTTCGAAGTACCTGGCTTTCTATGACATCAGACAGAAAGCAAGGTGGTGTAAGCCTGCATGGTCCCGGAGCACGCATAGGCTGTGATGGCCAGGAAGCCGTTAACAAAGAAGCAAAAGAGTACCTCGTCCGTTGAGACACTGACACAGTCTAGAATGCCTTGTTGCCCAAACGGCGTGTGGCACTTGGGGTTTCTTACGCTGGGTCTTTCATACCCTGAAGCAGAAAGATTAGATGCTTGAGGCACCCTCACCAGGCGCACCCATGAGCCGGCAAAGCCAATTTCAGTGCAAAATCCACTACTTTCCCGCTCCCGAAGTGGGTATACTGGATGAATCGCGCTCCCGTCGCAGTACCGTGCTTACTTTGTTGTGGAACTGAAGCTCCCGCCGCCGCTCTGTGCTGGATTTTGGCTTTGAATATGCTCGCCATCTGCTCGAAGTTGCTGGGCTGCTGGGCCACCCCAAAGGCGTTATAGAAGAACTTCCCCTAAATCGAAATCGTGCTCCCGCCAGAGTGCTCAGCGTGCACAACAGTGCCGTACATGCTCTGGAGTGCCAATCCACCGCCACGTTGTGCACATGTTGGGCTCATGAGGTGGTCCGGGGACTCCTGGAATTTTGCAGGTCTACGCTCGCATGATACTTTGACCTGTTTCCGCCTGGTGCTGTGTATGCAAGTCCGCAGCAGCGGCCGTGGGGCACCAAGTAGCAGTAGGTCACATAGAACAGCGTCCAGACCTCGGTATACCATCTGCAACTACAGCATGCTTCGAAGAAGTTGGTTTCGAAGCAGTTGAAGGGCAATAACAGTGCTCTCCATCACAAGAGCGAAGAATCAAGCAATCATCTGAGTACCTTGCCGGGCTAGCTTCGTACAAGGCGTCGATGTCGACCACGTTTTGCAGCACAGACTCAGCAGCGGAACGTTAAAGTGTGTGCAGCAAACCCGTTCCACTAAAGTACGCCAGTGAGGCTTTGATCGAAACGACGTTTCAGCATTGGCGAATCATGTCGACAGATACAGACGGTAAGTCCGGCCAGCGGCTAGCACAATCCTGCGGAGCTTTCAACTGCGATGCTTCAGAACGGAAGACACGTACAGGATGCTTCCACACTGCACGTTCTGCATGAACGGAAGAGTCCAACAGTGAGCTTCCAGCCACAAAGCTCATCAACGACTTCACCCAGGTGCTGTAGGCTTCGACATACCTCGGAAAACGAAGACAACAGTTCCGCAGCTCCCACGATGCCGCTACATTACATGGTTCTTCTTGTAAAAGGCCTCTTGCCTCTGTGTCCAACGGAATGGATGGAGAATGACTGTTGGTCTTCATGTGCAGGATCAAGCTCATGCAGTGCATGCGAGCCGACAGCACCCAGCGGAGGTAGGGGATAGGTCTGCATAGGTGAACGAACGAGATAATGGTCTCGAGCCTTGCAGCATCTCTTGTGACAACTCCGACTCGGCACTTCTGAGACCTACCTCCACTGGTTGAGTCCAACAGGGTATTGGAGCTTGAGTATGCAGCAAACGAGCATAAGTCGGCAAAGCTCAACCTCAGAAGACTGCTGCGTCCTCCTGCTACCACTACTCTTCTACCACTAACGCTACAGCTGCAGCTGCTGCTGCCGCTGCTTCTACTGCTACTGCTCGCGAGTACTGCGGGTACAGCTACGACTACTGCTGCTAGTACTTAAAGTATTCCTTGCATTGCTATGCCGCTACTGCTGCTAATGCTGCTACTGCTGCTGCTAGAGTTCCCTGCCGCTGCTTCTACGGCCACCACTAGGGCCTACCAGGGCTGCTGCAACCACTAATATTCGCCCGCAAAGAAGCCCCTGAGACGACAGCGACTAATACTGCTGTCACGACCATGACGACAACCCTGGCTCAAACTTCCGTGATACTCGTACTTCTACCACTATCACCGCCACCTCCATTCAGCCCTCAGCCTCAGGCGGGCCATACAGGCAGTTGGCGAAAAAGATTGTCGATGCTGCGACCGGCACGAAGATGGCCAAGTAGTACCTGTGTCCCCAACTCCGCTTTGTCTGTAATTGTCACCGCAAGCGGAAGCAAGCAGAGCCCGTTGGGCGCACAAGCCCACCCGGAATGACTTGCTGAAGAGCACGAAGAATCGGTACACAGGAGGATAAAATCGAAGCAACGTGGTGTACCTGAGAGCTTCGGAATGCGCTGAATCAAAGCTCCCAGCCCGCTCGCCTGACGATGAGAAGGAACACTAAGACTGCCTCACCTATCGCCGCCATTTCCTGCATTAGACGGCATGTGCAGGTCGCTTAGGACAGTCAGCTGTAGTTTCTACGCTGCAAGTGCATGTTTCTGCTGCACCGCTTTGATCCGCTTTGTTGATGCAAGACACAGCAGCAAAAGCAAAAGGTCTCCTCCCACGAAGCCCAGCGGCTGTAGGAAACGAAGTGCTGCAAGCAGGGCCAAAATCAACTAAGCTCTCACGACTCGGATTTGGCTGCAACCTGGCTGTTGCTCGAACTCATGGGCTCCACAGGCTTCACTTTGCTGGAGCGCCAGTACCTGCCAGAAAAAACACGCCAACTTCAGCTGTGCCTCTGAGCTCGTCGGGCGCACTGAAGCGCTATGAACAATCCGATGGAGGCCGCATCCAGCACGCCTGCGGGCGAAAGCACCTGCCACAACGGCACCAGCCAAATGACGAACATGGACAGGTCCATGTGGCATTCGGTAAGCATCGCTGAAGGGAACATACCGCAACCCGGAGTAGCCATCCCGCACATAGTCCTCACACGTGCGCCAGACCTTGGTGAAACAAAGAACATCTCAGCAACCTTCAGCCAAAAGACATCTTCTTTGTGGCCTTGTAAAGACAAAGATAGCCGATGATGATGATCCAGCGGAAAATATCCAGAACATCAGCCTGAAGCCAGACATCCGCACGACTGCCTTTGCTGTCGCTTGATCAGCTGCTTCAATCCTAAGATTCACACGGTGATGTCGCCAGACGTCTTTGCCAGATGGAAGGGTAGCAGCACTGCCTCAACAGCCCCAGCCACGAGGACGGAGCGTTTTGCGGCAGCCGAAGTCTGCGCAGCAAGAAGCTCCACACCGGTCCAAGGTTCGGACAGTGAAGCGCGATGCGCCGGATGGAAAGATTTCAAGCAGCAAAACAGTTGACACGTATCCACCTGAGAATGCTTGCACCAAAACTGCAGAAGGCAGGCTGTCTCATCATGCTTCCTTTGTCAAGGTCTGGCTGAGGATTTGAGGTGGTCGGTGAAGCTCATGTGGAGGACTGAGATGCACGCCTGCATGGTAATTGGCGAGGGTGAACTCCACCTGCAGGACAATCGTGGCTGCTTCCATGGCATGCAGCTTGCAAAGCCCTTTTAGTTTGTACCCCCTGCTCTGCAAGCAGAAGCTAAGCGCCACGACGGCCAGCATTCGTGTGTCGCCGGTAAGCCACTGCGGCCTCAGCAATTTGACTAATCGCTGGTAGCCAGCCTTTCATCAGAGTAAATCGTACGAGGGCCAGTAGCTGAGTCAGAGACCAAAGCCAATCCTGATCGGAGCCAGACGTTGACTGTATGGAAGCCCCGGCCCCAAACTAGAGATGGCAAGGGCAGACTCTCTGGCTGCACTCTGACAACTCACCCTAACTTGACCTGTGTCTTGCTCGGCACGAGGCTAATTCGCCCATCTTCGTCGTCACGTTGGCGAGGTTGGATGGGTTGATGGGGAACCAGAAGCTATATCCAGAGCCGCTGTACCTCATGTGGATGCCTCTCCTGTCGCTGCACTCTTGCCCCAAAGTAAACTCACAACTGGCTTGCAGATTCCCAAAGACTGCTTAGCCTGCCAGCTTCCATGTGAATCTAATGGCGATAATCCAGACCACATATCCGGAAATAGCTGAACTCTGAGGAAGAGACAGAGCTCCGTTTTTCCCCCAGATCTCGTCCGTGGCCACTGTGGATTTGCTGAACCTGGCCAACTACTTTCGAGTCTTGGTGTGCTTGGTTGTGACGACTTCTGTGATGTGAAGGCAGCCATCCCCACGTCGTGCTGAGGGCTACAAATGGATGCGCTGCACAAAATCACATGCACAACAGCACGCTGCCTGAAAAACATGCAAACAAAAAAGTCAGTTTGTCATGGAAACCAGGCGCACGTCGTGGGATTTCCGGACACATTCATGAGGAGTTGCGCCAATTCTGCACATGTCAGGTCAGATACGCAAAAATGGCTCTTCGCATGGCAACTTCCCCTCACGACATGACGGCAGTGTGGACATCCCGCCTGGGAGCGTGTCATCGTCAAAAAGCAATTCCTGGTGGGCGAAGCGACTGGGACAATCTCTAGACTAAGCTCCCTTTGGGACCTGCAGCTTTCGGTAAAAATACGTTCAAAGTCAGTGAAATAAAGCGGCATCCGTAATGACGCTGTATGCTGGGCTGCACCCAAGCAAAGCTTGCTCGCAGAGCCAGATTCCGAAGGCCAGGTTGCAAGGCAGCCGTCGCTAGCAGATGGTGACGAGTTGTTGCGAACCCGAGTGTCCTTCTCGTCCTGCGTGGAGCTCGAGACCTGTGCAGCGTGGATGTCCCTTCTTTAAGCCTACCTGTGGCCGTAAGTACAGCTTTACTCCCCGGCAGAGAGCTGAACGCAGCTTCACCCACGAATGAACCGTGCGGTCCTGCTGTCGTCACCCGCCTCGACATATCTGCAGCTCCGCGCGAAGGTGGCTGGAATCTGCCGAGCCCACAGCTGACACTCTCAGCTGAGATGCGCAAAAACAGACTGCGTCGGCCTCGGGGCGAGTGCAGGTCTTCAAGGCCGCCTTCTGCACGCGGAAGCGCATGTCACCCACCTGAAGCAACGAGAGCTGCATCCGAGGCTGGCCAGGGAGTCTGACGGCAAACCTCTCATATCCGAACTCCTGGCCCCCCGCCGGCGTGTAGAACTTGCGTAGTGTGGACTGCGGGTTGAAGAGCTGATAGTCGAAGCACCTTCCAGGCTTGCATAAAGTCTCTGACCGATGATTCCTGTAATGAGCACTGAAGAACTTGACTACGTGGAGGGCACCCTCGGAGGTATTGTTCTGCCGCTCCCACGGTCGAGACATCCTCCATCTCCAGAAAGATCTCAGATTTTCAGCGAATGCTTGGCCAAGGATCTCGGTCGTGTCAGGGCTCTGAGTGCTCTGAGGACCTGACTCCCGTCGAAGTCTCGTTCGGGATTCCCACCACCAGGGCATTCTCCACGCCAAACCTGCAGAAGCAAAACGGAATCACAACCACCTGGGCCCCGAGCGCCAAACGGATGCAAAGGTATTACTGCAGCTTCTGGCTCGCCTGAGGAGGTAGTTTTCAATCTCCGAGCGCAAGAAGAAGCACCTGTCCACGACTGCCACAGCGCAGGACAACCCAAAGATCGAGCTCTCAGCTCCGCACGCAATGCTGAAGATGATGAGGACTCCGAAGACGAGGAAGTCAGCTAACTGTCGCATTACGCAGCGGTTGGGGGTGCCACTACCAAGCCGGACTGTGGCGCGGGCTCTGGTCCTTAACCACTTCTGCATGTCGTGCTTCCTGCCATTGGCGATTTGCAAATCCATGAAGGTTGAGACAGCAAGCGTTGTCTCCGGGAAAGTCGAGGTCGCTGCCTGTTCCGCTTCTTCAGTAGCTTGTAGACCTTGGCTGGTTTGGGCATCCCAGATGCGCACAAAGGCACTGCACGGAAGGGAAAGGAAGACTTGAATGTATGCCGTTACGACAATGACCCTGGGCCAAACAGTTCTGGAAGTACCCTGGCGCGCCGCTCGCCACTGCCATAAGGCGGAAGCAAGAACAAGGCTTTGAAGGTCTCAAAAAATTCTCGAACTTTGGAAAATCGTGACAGCCAAGGAAACCAGAAGGCAAACGCTTGGCAACTGCGTCGTCCGTCGTCCGCATGCGGTGCTTGCAGGCGCATGGCTCACACAGTATTGATTTGAGTAGATGGCTTCGCATTTTTGTTTCGTTGCATTAAAGGCCGGCCGCCTTGCGCCGAGAGTTCACGTGTGCTCCCACCTAGACCAACCAAAACAACACTTCTTGACTGGTTTGACACATATCGGAAGCCGGAAGCTGTGAGGCTTTATCCCCTGAGTTCCCGGACGCCTGGCCAGGCTTTGAGGGCTTCTACGAAGGGCTCGGTCACATGCTCGGCCTCATTTTTCCGCAGGCTTGGGGCTTCAGCGGCATCAGAAGAGGTTTAGGGTTTAGGGTTTAGGGTTTAGGGTTTAGGGAAGAGGTTAAGATCTGATGGTGCGGCTCCTGTGCACGCCATTGCCGTGAGCGAGCTGCTGAAGAGGGGATGTTGGTAAACGATGGGGGTTGACTACCTCCTCTACTACTACTTGCAGTCGTAGTCGAAGCAGTAGGAGCAGTATGAGCAGTAGGAGCAGCAGCAGCAGCAGCAGCAGCAGCAGCAGCAGGAGGAGTAGTAGTAGTAGTAGTAGTAGTAGTAGTAGAATAGGGTAGTGTTGGTCGTAGTAGTTGCTGTTATTGTTGTTGCAGTTGCAGCTGCTGTCGCATGCTGTTGCCGTTGCTGGTGCCGTTGCTGTTGCTGTTGCTGTTGCTGTTGTAGTACAACTAGTAGTTGCGTAGCTGGCAGGCCCAAGATGCCGCGACATTTCCGAGACCGAGCTTGAGAGTCATGAGCTTCTTCCCCTGGCGGTCACAACAACGCCAGCAAAATGATAGCTTGAAGTGATACGATGTAGGATCTGAAAAGTATAGCATGATGCGGCACATCGTAATTACCTGACAAAATGACAGAAGAACACCATGTCAAAGAAAGGAGCGTTATATGGCATAGCATGATTACTGCTTATCCTCTGACTTGTTGGATCGCGTGGATCCGCGGACTTTCGAGGCTACGTGACCTTGATTTCTCAAGGGCCGGCCTCCTCAGCCAGGTCTTCCTGCACCTGACAGATCGAGATCATGTCGGCATATCTGAGAATCTGGCTCGGGCCTGAGCCTTGCAATGCAGTGCAGAGTTCTGAAAGCTGTTTTCTGACAGGCAGACAAGCCCGTACCAGGCATGAGCCGGTTTGGCCGCGGCCGACCTCAACCGCGGCTGCGAATGAGTGGCCTTCCTTTCCGGAGAAGCCGTATCTGGTGGTTGGGGCGAGCTGAATCACGGAAGGTTCGCCGACGGGCACGGGCCGCAACTCTGCGATGTTCTTCGAGCTGTGGACCGAGTCGTTCCCCAAGATCCCAAACCTTTGCTCGGGATCGCCTGCCATGGAGCATGGCAATGTGGCCCACGGTGGAAGAACCAGGCTGGATGTAGGAGATGGCCGAGTCACCCTATGAGTCGCCGTCTTTGACCACAGGTTGAGGAATTATGAAACATCCTTCCACGAAAACGGGACATGTTCATGCATGCGTTAAACCCCTCCTTATTTAGGTCCTCAAGCATCAAAGTACCTAATGTGTGCCCGGCTCATTATCTTCTGGTTCTGCCTTTTCGAGAGAAGTAGGCACAAGGGAAGACCGCAAGTTCGTCAATTATATGTCGACCTCGTTATCTGCTAGAACTTCGTCGTGATTCCGGTCTGAAGGAGACTCAATCGCTCCACCGTGAAGGCTAAATGGTCTAAGTAGCGTAGTAGCGAAACGGCACTGAACCAGACAGGGAATTCTGATCCCTCCTTCTGCGTTCATCTTTATACAGACCTTACAATGTGCACATGCGCGAAGTCCTCTGGCAGCCGGCGGCTCACCGAAAGCCCCTCTCTAACTGCAACAGCATCTCTGACGAACCTTGCGAGCACCAGCACAAGCCATGTCAAAATCTCTACGTGTGGCTGCCGGGTTGCAATGGTGGACTATTTCAAATTTCTTACGGAGATCAAGAACGGCCGATTGGGAATGTCCGACCCGACATACAGATGCTGAGGAGGCGGCGAGGTCTTGGTAGTGAGCATCTTGCGTTGCAGGTGCGTTGCCAACTTCACCTCCGACAGCTGTAGCCCAACTGAGGTCAAAGGATGCGGCGGCTCTGAAACCGCGAAATAAATGCAGCATTTCCTCGAGTTGCGACACGGATTGATGCTGTCGATCTCCATGTTCCGGATCTCCAACTTCGCACCGCGGCCGATCTTAAAAATTGCCCCTGCGCAGCTCAGGCCGTGCACAAAGACGCGAAGTCGACGGCATTCACCTTGAGATTCAAGAACCAGCTGACGTCCAGCTGGAATTTGCGCCCATGTCGCCCACAGAAATTGGGCTGCTCGAGGCGGCGGGAGTGTGACATTCCGAGTCAACAGCACCTCATTTGCGGGCGAGAACAGAAGAAGCGAGGATCTGCACGAAAGAGTTGAACTCTAAGGAAGCTGGAAGTTGTTCTGAACAGTGACCTCTTGCAGGGGCACTCGGTACGATGAACATAACCAGCCAAGGTTCCTAAAAATGAACCCCAGTTTAAGTTTAGTCTGAACACAAAACTGTCTACTGCACAGTTTCTCTTGCGCCTTAGGAGCCTTGGCCATGGCTTCCTCACCAAGAGCTGACTCGACTGCTTCCTGTAAGTCCTGGAAGGCCGGGTCAAGAAACCTCAGTGTGATGACTTATCCTGTCCATCCAGTACATGTGTATACATATATATATATATATATATGCACATATTTATATGTGTAAAGATGTATATACAAACCCACATATATGATGTGTGTATTTGTACACACATATGTGTATGTATGTATAACCAACAATGACGGTGTGTTTAGTTATATGTATACCTATGTCGGTATCTCTATATCTATACCTATACCCATAAACATACCTATATCACATCTGCATCTAAATGTATATCTGTGTGTGCATGTGCAGGTATGTATATGTATCTACATAACCTTGTTTATGTATGTATGTATGTATGTATGTATGTATGTATGTAGGTATGTATGTATGTATGCATGCATACATCTATGTATGTAGGTCTGTATGTATGCGTGTAGCTACGTATGATTTGGCGTATCCGCAACAGCACCTCTAACTATGACTGGTGCAGCTCTGGCAGACGCAGTGATCGCCTCATCCTCTGCGTATCTTTCTTCCTTGCCTAAACATGCTTTTGGTAGTGCTGGGCGAATCTTTATACTTTATGCATTCTCACGCCAAGCTGCAGTTGAAGCATCTGAAGAATTCCGTGCTGTATAAGTTTGCCTGCGTCGGGTCACACATCTGCCACGAAAGAGTGCTGAGACCAAGCTGATTCAAACGAGCTGCCGACTGCTGAGTTCTTCACGCTCTTGGCAAGGCACTTGTGCCAGCATGGCACATGAGGAACCCAAAACGGTCCGCTACACACCATGGCGAGGACTGTCCCACTCGGTGCCGCTTTGAGCCAGGAGGGCACGTTCGTTCGGAAAAGGCCGAAAAGCCGAAAATCGCACTCCGAAGTCCCCCCGCCCAGGCCGACCTCGGACTTCCGATCTTTTTGTCGAGGACGATCCTTTGAAGCACAAAAGTAGAGTGTGTCTGCCAAGCTCGCTGCACCTATGAAGCGCAGGGTCTATAAGTCCAGTGAGCCGAAAACGCCGCATTCCTCAGCAAGCTCGCGGCATGCCTTGAAGATGTCCATGTCGGCTTTGCGGACCAGGTGCAGATGGGAACTGAGCAAATGGGTGCTTTGTACAAACTTGTTTGGAAATTACATGTCGCTCTTGAGGCCCTGGCTGCTCCTGCGGGCTGAGGATAGCTTCATCCTGCAGGTGATCGTCCATGTTGCCGGCCAGGTCCTACCAGCTCACTGGTCGAGAATCTCGTCGTCCAAGCAAATCAACCGTAGCCCCTCAAGCCTAGTCGCGGCCTCTGGCTCGTGCTCAAAGGAATTTGCCCGTACTTGAGATGAGGCGTGGACAGGCGTCGACTCGCCACCCCTAATTACGCTCGAAGCCACCTCACGACGACCCTGGGCGGCCTACCGGCTGATCCAGACTTGATGGAGCCACTCTCCCTACTGCAAGAAACGGAAATTCTACTGTTACCGCTACTGTGTGTGTTGCCCCAGCTACTGTGAGCACGAATATTCGTGACATCTATATATGTACACACACATACATCTTTGAATATATCTGAATATCTGTGTGTACATATGTGTACATACACACACACATACATACATACATACATACATACCTACCTACCTACCTACCTACCTACCTACCTACCTACCTACCTACCTACCTACCTACCTACCTACATATATACATACAGACATACAGACGTACAGGCACACAAGCATACATACACGCATACGTACATATGTTCATGTGCATTTTCAGGCGCACGCAGAGACACATATACATATATATATATATACACACAAACACATATGCACATGTACACATGTGCACATACACACATAAACACGTATACGACACATAGATAGACATGGACATGGACATTGACAAATAATGGCATATATAATATACATATATATATATATATACGTATATAACCATGTGTGAATGTCTATATGACCATGTGTATATAAGTATAATATATTGTTATGACAGATCGATAGATATTCGTATCAATATGATAATCACAAATATGAATGAATTAAGTGTGGCGGCGACTGTGGTTGCTGGCAGCCCATGGCATCCTTGGGCTCGTCGTTGTCAATCTTGCAAAGTGTGTAGTCATGCCTTGAACACCTCGAACGCACACGCGTGAGGGTTTAGGGTCTAGGGTTCAGGGCTTTGTCGGCCACAGCTACGCTGAGCCCTTCGCCCCCAGTAGCTGCAAGCATCTTTCAACAAATCCGCGACCGTGATGGACCCATCAATTCGATATGTGACCTGGAGCGGACTCCTTGCCTTCTGCTTCTACAGGCAATGTCAACATCGGCTTCGTATGGCTTCGTTGTTAGGGCCACAAATTTTGTTCAAGATTGGCACAGCAGGGCACGAAACTTGCAAAGGCGTGGAGGCATGTCCGCCTTGTAGTCGTCGTCCTTCTTGTCGCCAGACAAGTTCACATAGCCTAGCACGGAGCGTTTGCGTTGGTGCCGTGAGTTTGCTGACGACGCTGGACACTAGATTCGGCGGAACACCGGGAGGGCCACGACGTGTGACGAGCGAGCGTGCAGTGCGAAATCCGGTGAAATTGTTGCACAGCAGAAGATGGCGACAGGTCAGCCCCTGCCATAACAGCTTCCAGAGCCCGGGCTGACGAGGACGGTGTCGTGCAGGTTCTGCTTGTTCGGATCCTTCAGCCCAGGAGGGTCAGAACCAGAGTGAACAGAAGGATCAGGGAACTGGGCCTCGCCCACGTTCTCTTTGAAGTCTGCGGCGCCTCAGAAGCGGCCAGGAATGAGTGCCCACACGAAAGCCTGCGGGACCTCCAAACCGCACCTTGATCAACTCCATCCGGCTCTTCTTGTGAGGGCGCCATAGCTGGAATTCGATCCTCTTGCAAAACACGGGTGCTGAAAGGCTCCCTCCGACGACGCTTTCAAGTCCTGGAGGAAGCTGTGGACTTGCTCCGACATGAAGTGGCTCTCCGCCTCGGCCTGGATAAGCGCGAGTGATCGCCACACTTTCGCAACACAGCCCACCATGTCTAAAGTCTAACACAGATCAAGTATCATATATGATATGATGTGATATAATGTGATATAATGTGGCATGATATAATACAACATCACATCACATAACATAACATAACATAACATACTGTGATATACGATAATGTAATCTAGTATAATGCAACATAGAACCAAAGAGTATAGTATAATGCAATGTAGTCTAATATAGTCTAGTACAGTACAGTACAGTATATTATCTGATATAGTAAAGTATAGTACAGTACAGTCTGTATAGTATAGTATAATAACATGATATGGTGTCTGCCACTTCTGCCCTTCAGGCCCGGCACTTTCTTCTGTGCGTCGCCATACTGCGAAGTCTTCAGTGCCCTGACAGGAACAGGGAGCTGCGGTGGTGTGGGGCTTCAAACGTGGCTTGAACTCTGCAAATGCCCACAGCAGTTTGGCGAGGCCGTGGGACAGAGCACTGAGAGCGAGACTTTTTCTGGGTGGACTTGTGCTCTTCCTGCCATGACTTGTGGGGGATTCCCGAGAAAAGCTCAGACATCAAGTCGGTAGACTCACCCCGAAGTTCCGTTCCCCCATGAGCCGAAGCCAGCCTTGATAATGCTCAGCTCTGTATTTCGCTGCTTGAGCTCCTCCTTGAGCGGGCCGTCTGCTACTCGGGTTGACATCGAAGAAATTATCCAAACAAGTTGTTTGAATCTCTCCTGGTGATACTGGGCTGAATTGGGTTTGGAGTGCTTACAGTGACGGCTAGCTGCCAACGTATAGAGCCGACTGAGACCCAAAAATCCTCAGCAGCCTCTGAGGCGCAAACATCAAAGGCAATTTTGCGCTGCTTCAGACGTTCTAGCTGCTCGCGTTTCCGAGCGATGTCTGACCTGCCCAGGATGCGACCGGACTGGTTTTGATCCGACTCAGGCTGTCCGCGGTGCTGAGCTGCCGGCTGCAGCTGCTTGATCTGATTTCTCTCTTCGGCGAGATTTCCCTGTCACATGGGTCAGGCTATACTGTCAGAACCCTTACCGCAAAGTGTACATCGACAGCGTGAAGACAGCTGCTAGATGTGAACTTTAAACGGCAATCCTGACTACCAACTGCGTGTACGGTTCTCTTCACGCCTCGCCCTCGTCTGCCATTGCCTCCAAGTGCGTGAACATGTTGTGCTGAGTGGCTGCATGAGCGCACCGACACCAAGTCCCGAACGCGCCGCCAGCTTTACACACCAAGGGAGCACTCGCCGAATTAGGTGAGAACATGCATCGTCTTAACCGTGAGCGGTCGTAGGTCACACTGGTCCCGTGCAGAGCACTTAAGCTATTCAAGCTATTCACAGAGCGCAGGCGATGAGTCGATATGATCGGCTTTTCATGAGGGGCTCTTCCTCTCTTCCCCTTCATGCGATGAGCTTGGGCCAGACGATCCGGGCAAGCAGCCTACAGGAGACGGAATAGGAGAGTTCTGTCGAAGTTGAATCCTGGAAGTGAGAAACCTATTGTCGCACCATGTGCGGCTCCCGAGGCAGGGGCACCTGGGAGGTGGCACCTGAGCTGGGCGTGTTGCGGACCAGAATGGAGATGGGCAGGGAGCAGAGGATCAAGATGAGGATAGTGCAGTGGATGGACGCAAACAGCGGATGGATGACGAAGGACAAGAACGTCATGATCCCAAGATGTCTATGCAATTTCTCCATGGCAATGCTGACTCGTGAGCGGAACGCACACTGCAAGGCAGCTACGCTGTCCTGACAGGACTGAGTTCGAAGGCTCGGCACCAAACGATCTTCCTCTGTCACGCGAACCACGGGCCGATCGGAGTATTATTGCGGGGAACTGGAATATCGACTTCTTAATTGGACTTTGGAAGCAGATCGTTGAACCATGGCTGTCGACATGCAATTTGCAACTCCACAGGGTTCCCTGAGAGGTCGGCATAAAGATCACTTCATTGCAAAACAGATGCAGTTGCAGATCACTACTGTGATGGAATGTCTGCCGGCGCTCTTGGAAACAAAGTGCACCGAGACTTGCCACGAGTCGTCTCGCTGCCCGGTGAGTCCAAGCCGTAAGATGCCCCTACATGTTCTCGATCCGTCATCTACGTGCGGCATAGACGCATTATGGCAACGCAAGCCGTCGCTCCCGGAGATCCGAGCCCGGAAAACGTGGCATCTTCAATGCCCCTTCTGTGCGCGGAAATGCGCGGGAGGTCGGTGCTTCAGCCGCCAGCCTCAGTAACGGCGCATTGCAGCCTAGACATGCCTAGACTGCCAGCCGTCGATGCACTCAGGTGGCAACGCTGCGAGACACGACGACCATCAGCCGGCGTAATGCACAAAGCCGGAGGACTGGGCAGCAGTGCCGGGCTAAAGGGACGTCTGCCAGCTGAGACTCAAAGAGCCACGGGGTCCCTACCGACGTGCACACGCAGTGCTTCCGAACGTTTCTTTTCGTCGGGCTGGTACTGCTGCCTGCGCAGCTGCTGAGAAAAGTAAGAGAGGAGCAGCTTCATTCAGATGCCACCTTCCCGCGCCTCGAATCTAGTCTGCCAGCTGTCGAATGTTAAACCACGCCCACCACACAGACCCACATTGATTTCTCAGAGCTGGGTTTGGCAATCGCGATCGATGCTGCCAGCCTGCCTTTGTCGGCTTCTGTAACATGCCGCTGTTCTGCTGCAGCCAACCTGACAGATTTCGACTGCAAACCATGCCTGACGCTCTGATGCCTCGGATGCGGGTGTGCAAACCCCTAATTCGCCTCGGCCACCGGCCGAAGCGGTCAGAGGTTCC